TACAAGTATAAATGTCCTATAATATGTAGAGTAACAACCTACATTAACTACGTAATATCATACATTAAATAAGAAATATATCAACTTTAATATTTAGCCTGTAAATCTGTAACAGTATCGAATTGTAATCTTTGTGGATGAAATCATCAAATATACATAAAGAAAAGTAACTATAAATTTCCATACTATCATACCTCATCAATAGAAATAGTCCCAAGCGTAGACCCCATATTACTACAAGAAAAGTCAAGATTACCTGAAAAGAAGAATTACAAAATCACTCGGTGAAATGTCTATTTAACATTATTCCATGCTGAAATACATACAGAGGGGGTCAAATCGTTAAGATCCTCAACTATAAGTAGATAGGAAATATAAGTCACGTTTTCTTTTGCCAACAAGATGTTGGTTGAGAAGTTAGCAGCGGCCAGATGGATGAGGACATGAATTTTTTTTAATAGTCTGAGATGATTATAAAGTAGTATTTGTTCAGAATTTTTCTTAGCCTATTGACAAGAGACACACACCCTGCAAACGCAATTGCTAGAACCTTGATCCTCTAGGGAGAACAACACTTCCTTTAACGCTCTTGGAGCAAGAGGTATTAGTCTCAAGCCCAATGTGGCTTGAGGACACCTTATGATAACACAAAAAAAAAATGTTTTATATTTCACTTCTACAAAAGAGGATATGAGAAGAAAAATGTTAAGAAATCTCTTTAGCACTCAATATGAAAAACTTAAAACTATTTTGTATGATAAGAATTATGTTTATGGCTACTTCCTCCGATTAATATGCTAACATTAAGTGCAAAGTGTGACTATATGAAAATTAAGTTAAAGGTGTTAAATTGCAAAAACCACATAACCCTTAAGAGACCTCTAAAAGGACTCAAAACCTTCAGCGAAAGCATCATAACTACCATCATAGAAAGCATATTATAGAAGACTAGTTTAAAAATCCGACAAACTATGCATATTTCTTTTTGATAGAAATATGATAAACACACACAAAAAAAAAATTTGGAAATTGACAACACGGATGGTGAGGACATAGAGTATATATATTTACTTTACGTTTCACACACCTCAGACAAGTAAAGATATGGTCTATATCCCCCGAGTTTACTATATTGGTATATACCCCCAAAAAACCCTATCTATCTATATCCGGAAAGTTTAAACTTCTTTTGATATTCTGAAAATTATTAAAGTTGGTAAGAAATTTGAAGAGATTTATTCAATGGTGCAAATGAATGAGAATAAATTTGTGGAGGAACAAGACTGTAATGTGAAGAAATAATGGTGTGTGGTAGTGGTCGTTTTATCTAATAAAATGACCTTTGACTTTATGAGAAGGATGATTGATGGATGTATGGGCATCGAACAAATGCCAATCACTCTTAAGAAAGCTACTTTCTGCCAACTTTACCCTGACTCCGAGCTTGAGGACCGGCTCTTTTCACGGGAGGGGACTATTGTTGGTAGTGACGAAAGTATGATTTTATGTTAGGGATAAATTTATAATAATTTAGGTGGATGAGAATAGATTATTAATCGAAAATATAAAAAAATACCTATATTATATAAAAATTTGAAATTTTCAAGGGACAATTGTCCCGCCAACCCACTCGTACATCCCTGATTGTTGTGGATGCTTTTGACAGTGCTTTTGAAAAGTGCTATTAGAAAGTGTTCTTGAAATGTTAGTTATGTTTAACACTGCTGTTAAAAAATATTTCTAAAAAGATAAAATGTTAATTTTAGACGCGATATTGTAAAATAAAAATAAACTAAATGATGTTTAAATTCGTTAATATTATTATATTAAAATAAATCAACTTAAATTATAATAAAAATATAAAAAATTATTACAAATCATTAGTAATATTTTGATATATAAAATATGAATTTGGCATATTTTGACATATTTCAGGTTGGGAGGAACCCTCCTAAACTTGAGTCAGATTGGGTGTGTGGAGAGTTTAAGGTTCGGTTTGGGTGAGCCAAAACCTCGACCCGACCCATGGTCATCCCTAATTAAAATTATATATGAACTTAAATATTACAAATTCATAATTTATTTGAAATAAATTATAATTAAAATAATTATATATTCAACATAATATGAAAGTACATTATTTTAAATTCAATAAAAATCTTTAAGTAATTATATATATCTATAAATCTTTAAAATTCTTATGTAGAACAACCAATCTGAGCATTAATAAACAGAAAAAAATACTATAATATGTATGGACATTAGTTTAACAGCCAATTAGTGTTAAATAAATGAGGATAAAAAAAATGTAATTTCACTTCAAAAGTTCTTTTCTACGTTAAAAGGTTAAATTTTTTTACTTTTTGGTTGGGTGGAAAAGCATTTGTCCACCATAATTTTTAGGCCAAAAGTTAAGAGTGTTTGGAATTGCTTGTGCGATTGAAAAGTGCTTATCTCACATGATAAGAATTGCCAAACGTACTGAAACTCTTAGGAGTTGTTGTTAAGTAGACTTTTAGTCATTAACAACACAATAACTTCTCGAATTCGAATTTTCTAAGGGTGTGTTTGGTAATATTATCTAAAAGCACTTTTAGTTAAAAAGTTCATTTTGACCGTAAAATTAATACCAAACGGGTAAAAATTGAAAAAAAAATGTTGCGAAAACGGTGGTTTCAAACCAATCGCAAAATATGGAATTTCTAACCTTTTCATTTCTAATTTTGCGTTTCGAAGCAAGTTTATATTTTTACACTTACTAATGCATAGACTCCACTCATTTTTCCTTGGAAAAGAACTTTAAAATTCAAAATTCATTTATTAATTATGTATTTACATTTTATTTCAATAATTTAATACTAACATTCTTAAAGAATAATTTATTGCTTAATAATTTATTTTAATTACGTAAAAGTAAATAAAATTTATGATTTATATATTAAAATATTAATAGTGAGTTATTATAAAATATATTTTTATTCGTATTTTTATATTTTCATTATAGTTTAAATTGATATATTTCATATATAAGAATAGTTTCTTTTAAATTTATTAATAATATATATCTTTTTTTACTTTTGAATGGTTAAAAGGATAAATATATCATTTAAATTATTTTATTTTAAATTTTAAATGAGTGATCGTGGTTAAATAGAAGTAATTAAAATATTATTTTAAAATTCAAATGTTAAAAATTATTGATAATATATTTTTCTTAATAAAATATTTCATATATAAAAATATTATTAATGAGTTAACTTAAAACATTTTTTATATTTTTTATAGTTTAAGTTGATATATTTTATATATCATAGTATTAATAAATGTAAATATAATTTAAATGTTATATCAACATAATGTCTAAAATAGACATTTGTTTTATCTTTACAAAACCAATTTTTAACAACAATTCCAAATAGTTAAATTTTAAACTGCACTTTAAATGTTCTTTTCTACCTCATTCTTAAAAGTCATTTTTCAAAAGTAACGTCAAACTGTCCGTAAATAGAATAACAATTCTCTTTTACCGCTAAGACCACCTATTGAATCCAATTTTAGGATGTCATAAAAGTACTTCTTTGTCTATTTGCTTTCCATATTTGAAAACAAAAGAGTGATTTCGAATTACCTGTCGAAAATGCCATGATCCTTTAATCACCAGAGTCAACACAGCAATTATAACAAAATTTGTGCTTCCTGAGTGGGAAAAAAAAAACGATATAAGCACCTAATTTGTAAAAGAGAATCGTATATAAGTAATTCCTATTTATTGTTAGAAACCAATGAATCAATAAAACTACTTCTGGCATTTGAAGAATTTTTTAATAGTATGTGGTGGAGTGATTAATTACAGCGTACCATCTGTTCCAAATTTTCTTAGTTGTCAAGTAAGCACACACCTAGACACAGCTACTCGAATCCGATATTAAGAGAGAACAATATTCCCTTTTACGGAAGAATTGGACTTTCCGAAACCTGGGTTCAAAAGGGAGTTCAAAGAACAAGTAAAGAAGCTAAATTTGAGGATTAAGTACCTGCAAAGTCGGTGACTTTATCAAACTTGAGAAGAGCAGTGACTACAAAGAAAAATAACTGATATCCCACCTGCACCAAACACCAAAAATAAATCAAAGAATCAATTATAGAGAGAATTCTTTTAAAAAAAAAGGAGAGAGAGAGAGAGGGGTAAATTAAAGCATACAGTAACAATGGCAGTTAGAGCTAAGAAATGGGAATCTATGACGGTTCCCATTTTGATATCCTGTTGGCTTACAGAGGGGTTTCTGGATTTCTTTTGTTTGTGATTAAACCAAAGGGTGTGGCCAGTGGCCGTTTGGTGTGCGTGGCTGTGAGTTGAACAGCATTTCTAATTGCCTATTGGATTGAAATGTATTTGATTTTGAATAATCTATCACTTGTTGGAATTCCTTGTAATTTCCGTTTGCATCAGTCCCACAACGTCCTTTTAACTTCAATTCAAAGCTCAAAATTTATATGGTAATTATTGGCTCAAAATCTAAAATCTTTAGAAATTTTTATAAACTTTTTAAATATTTTATATAAATTAAAAATGTATTATTAAAATTTTAAAATACAATTTTAAGGCTTAACCTTAAAAAAAACTACATCAGTATCTTTGAAATAAAATAAACTTCGAGACTTTATGGTTTTCAAATATAATTTATTTTTAAAATCATGGGAAAATTTTGTGGATTAAGATGAGGACCAAACCTAGATACTGCAGGCAAATGACCGGAGTTTATATATATATAATTATGGGATAAATATAAAATAATATATGATCGAAGACTTAACCATTTAATAATTAACACTCATTATTGCATACACAATGCTCGAACTCGGGGTCTCAAGGGATAACAATAATTTTTTAACCTATGAGGTCATTTGGTTCATACAAATGAGTTCTGAATGGTGGGTTAGAAGGCATTTTGAAACACCAATAAGATGCAAATGGCATCGTTATGTAAGTTAAACCATTCTTCAAATTTAGCTTCCACAAAAGGGAATCCTATTCCTCGGTGAACCACTGTTTCGTGTTTCAGCTAACAAATGTTCAGCAGATTAAAACAATCTGCAGTTTTGACTCCCTTGACTACCATCACTGTTTACAATTTAAAAAACCCCTCTAGAACACAAAATGAGGCAATCCACTGATTACAACTTCACTTTCTTTCTTCCTTTTCTTCTTTTTACAAATAAATGCACGTTGAAAATGGCTGTCACCGACACCCCGAAAAGAAAAAAGAAAAAAAAAAGACGGCAGCGAGTCAAAACAAAACAGAAAGGAAAATGTGCAGAAAGAATCACATCATCCCAAATCAGAGTATATGCGTATGCTGTGTAATCTTCAATCATGTGTATTCATACTTCGTCCCAAACAGTTCAGGACCAGCACTTTAAAAACACTTTTATGACTGAATTCTCTCACTGGCACTTGATAAAGATGCAGTTGATCTAGGTACTTGTGCACTTGTTATTGGCTTTTGCAGGGGCTTCAAAGCAGCCATAATTTCTGCAAATGTTGGCCTCAGTTTTGGATCTCTACAATTTTAAACAACAATGGTCAGTCCTGCCTATCAGCCTTAATATGCATTCAGATGCATAGACAACGACAACCTATAGATTGCAATGATGATGACAGAATATAGTGCATCTCCATTCAACCTCCATCATTTACCAAAGTTCAATAGTAAACATTGTTAATAGAATGAAGGTGAATAGAATTTTAGACACAACACTTCTACACGGCTAGCGTATTTTTATAGTGTAATTCAAAAGCAAATGCACAATAACAAAAATACAAGTCAAAGAAAATTCAGACTACCAAGTAAAGCTCAGGCTAGATTAAGAAGTGGCAAAATCTGTACAAAGTAGAGATCGAAAATATAATTTATAAGGCCCACAATTCCCCAATATTGTGCAGATTGTTTAGAATTAGCTAAATTCACGAGTGTTCAAAAGACTGGCTTGTAATACCAGCCAGATCACCGACTACTCATGCACCAAGATTGTAGCAATTAATCAACTTCTGAAAGGGAGTTGATTTTCAAATTAATAGACTAGCACACAAGACAAATTCACAGTAAAAGATATTTGATTGTCTAGTGTCTTTTTAATAGTTTAGCCTTCTTTCATATACACACAGGATTAGATGTCACTGTAGAAAGTTGTTGACAATTAGGAATTTTATTCTACTGAGAAGTTTAATTTATTTATAATTTATTTATATTGAACGATTAGGATTATGTTTCTTAGGAGATAAAAGTTAGGAAGAAAATACACGTAGGACTCTAACTTGTAATTCATAGCCTATAAAACAGGTGGTGTTTTCTGTTTTTTCAATGAGAATTTTGATTAAAAAATTTCTTTTTCTTCTCTCAATCTCTCGCATGGTATCAGGCAAGGTTATCAAACCTAGAACATCATGGTGAATCCACCTACATCATCGTTGGAGGTCAATTCAGGCTCCAACAATCATCCCACCAACACAGTCATCGAAATATTTGTGCACTCTTTAGTTGTGTGTAAAATGAAACTAAAGGTGCACATACCTGGTACATACATAGGCATACAACCAAGGTCTTAAGAAAACTTTCAAGATTTAAAGAGCAGAATCCAGGTACAGAAGACTGAAAATGACTAAAATGATAAAACTATAGAAACATCAACTAAATTCATGAAAAAATCCGAAGACAGAATCTGTCAGCTCAAATAAAAGGTTCAGGGAACAAGCAACAGAAAATAGTTTGAAGAAACAAAACCATGAACCATGAATCAAAACTTGAGCATCTACACTAGCATCTTCTTCCAATGTGAACATTAACAATTTGAAGTATACCTACTATAGAATATTAAAAGCACGACAACTCTAGGTTCAAGATAACTCATACGGTATGGTGAAACTATATGAATTTGAGCTTATGGGAATTGGCAATATTACATCACAATATCTAATCAAAGACAATAAATAAATAAATTCTACTCACGTCTGCCAACACCTTCTAATAATTTCTGCAATGGTAGGATCCATGTCATCTGGGATGTCAAGTCTACGATGCTGAAATCCTACTGCACCAACAACTTGCATGGGATTCATCCCTCCCCATGGTTGTCGTAATGTAGAGAGCTCCCATAAAATAACTCCAAAGCTATAAACATCACACCTGCATGTTGACCGTATTTTATATGACCATTGAATAATTCTAGAATGATGACAGACAATAATGTAAAATGACAATGGGAATAGAAAATGCCTACTTCTCATTTGAAGGTTCATTTCTTAGTACCTCTGGAGCCATCCACTCAGCCTGGAGAAGAGTGAAGCATAGACTTGGATAAATTCAAAGATACATCTTGTATGGTACACTTAAAAGTCGACATTGGCAAACAATGAAAATACATGGGTAGTGTGCAAAGCATATTTGATGACGCTAAAATTATTATTTGTTCTAGATACCGAACAAACAGATCCCAGATAGTTACAACTTACACCAGGATGTCTTTTAGGATTACCCATATATTACTTAGAAAAAATTGCTTAAATCAACAATTCCACTATTTCTAAAGGCATTTGATTCATCTAGTTGTGCAATTTCAATATAGTTCAATCTGTTAGTCTTTCAGTTTACGCCTAATTGTGTTTACTGAAACATTGAATTTGAAAATAGCTATGTGAGGATCTCAAATTGTGGATTGTTAAGAGGAATTCCCTACATTTCCTTCTCAAATTGATTTCCATTGGCATGATTCAGATTGATCAGCTATATATAAGAGAATAAAAGTATTAAATGAAAAGAAAATAGTAAAGAAGCTGTTTGGCATTACCGTCCCTGCAGTTGACCTCGATGATAGATATGTGCTGTGCTTCATCCGTGATAAACCAAAATCACAAACCTAAATCAAAATTTAATGCCCGTTTTAGTTCTTTGTAAAAGAAGTTTCTAATGGGATCAGAAACAGTAAAGAAGAGAAAAAGGAAACCTTTACAACCCAATTTTTATCAACTAAAAGATTTGGGGACTTCAAATCACGGTGTACAATCATTGGAGTGCAATTGTGCAAGTAATTCATTCCCCGAGCCTGAAAGTTCAAGCATCCAAAAAGGAAGGATACAAAGCAAAGCCATCAAATGAACTTTAAGCAAACCAAATAGCATAATCATTTCAAAGTGTAATATATGTAGATTAAGAAACAAAGTTTTAATCAATCTTAAGATTAAAAACACAACTTTATATTAATCTGATGTATTTTGAAAATATGAAAACTTCACATAATAATAAAAAATTACTTTTTTATTAGTTTCAGTTAATTGTACACATGCAATTCAATGTGCAACAAATAATTATTATTTAAATATAGATAAAAAATAATATTGCAAGTATTTGTTTCATATTTAGTTATTGTTTAATATTTTGAGAGAGGTCGGATCCAATTACACAATGTAAAACAAAAAAAATTTATACTAATTTAGGATTGTTGGATGAGTGAAAATAGACAGCTGAGATTAACGGTAGGAAATGAGAAGATATTCACTAGGGAAAAAACAAGGAGATAATCTCAGCCGTCTATTTTCACTCATCTAACAATCCTAAATCAGTGTAAAACTAAAAGTTTTTAACATTGTGTAAGTGGATCTTAACCATGTGAAATCATATATTCATAATATCAAAAAACAGAATCATACCGCATCAAGAGCCATTCTCAAACGTCGCCGCTCATCTAATTGATTATTTGGCCGATGAAGTAGCCTATACAAACTACCTCTGCAAAAAAGATGCAAAAATGCTAAGATAGAATATTTCTAACAAAGTGAATAAAGAATTGCTAAGTGCTAGGAAACTAGGAAAACAGCAAGAAAAAAAAGAGTAAGAATAAAAGAAACCAACAATGCCAAAATGAGCAAGTTCAGAATCCATAACCATGCCTCAAGCAGCAGTTTATTCATTAGGGAACAATTTCAGTAACTCTTCCGGAGTTTTTGTTTAACCCACACCCTTTGCTTATGGTAAACTCAGCTTTTAGCCCTCTTTCTTCTTTTACTCACAATTAAATTGCTAATAAAATACTGGCACATGACACAATGATGATGGTTTATGGAATAACTCTACTTGTGATTTGACACATCATTTCAATTAAGCTGCTCAGGGAATAACTAGTTCTCATAATCTATGTTAGAAAGTCACCACAGAGTCGTTCAAAAGTACCATGTCGTTGTGTATATGACTAAAAAGCAAAATCAGACTATTTCCTCAAACTACAAATAAAGTTTCTATAAAATTGTTAAAAGAAAGAGTGACAGCATACCTATGAAGAAATTCTGTTACAATTGAAAGATTTGGAGGACGAGTTACAGCTCCCATGAAAAGAACAACATTGGGATGTCTGATTTTTTTCATGATTAGGACCTACAAAATTAAAATGCTTTAGTTCTTCAACAAAATAGACAATAACTTTGGGGTCTCCAGGGGTTCAACCAGTCTGGTATGGAACTTGAACTTCGAAAATCAAGATCATCCATTAAGCCTACTTTTTGTACACTTTTCCAAAACAAAACCGTAGTCATGAACACGTATAATACATTTCTTCTATTATACATGATAAAATTTTACTTTATCGGGGCCAAGCTGCTGGACTATCATCCATGCTTTAGCAGGCTTAATTTTTTTCTTATACCAAGCATCATATATCTAAAAGAGGTAAGGTACACCAACAGGTATTTGTTGGGATTTCTCTATCCAATCTCTCGTCTGATCAGCTATACCGTGTTTGAGAAGGTTGTTAATGGCTATTGCAGTGATAATTTTCACATATCTATACTTTTATGCGTTATTTTTTATTTTGCTTCTATTTGTCTTCAGTTTCTGACATTTGATATAGAAAATATTCTGAAACAGCAAGAGCAATAGCTTTAGAGTGCGGGATACCATGGGTAGAGAGAGAGTTAGAGAAAATTTGAAAAAGTCCAACACCTCCGAGGAGGAATGGACTGTTTTCATTGATAATCTTAGTAAGAGGGTTTCAAGAGGTGTGTTAAGGGATTATTTTAGTCCTTATGGTCAGATTCTGAGAATTTACATCCCACGTTTTTTAGAGAAACCAAATTACTTGTCTTCAACGTTTGCATTTGTTCAATTTGTGGGTGAAGAAAGTAGAAACAAGGCAATCAAGTTTGTTAATGGAAAGCGGATTGAAGGAAGAAGAGTCTCAATAGGGATTGCCAAATGTCAAAAGACTAAGAGGAGGGATGCTGCTGATGGGAAGAAGGTGTTGGAGAACAAGTCAGGAAAACAAGAAACTTCAAAAATCGTGAAGAATGCTGCTGAGTCGGTGAGAAGCATGAGGGATGGAAGATCGAAGATCGTATAAGGATGTACTAATTACTGATCATAATATGATAAAAGAATCAGTTTCAGGGGTAATCTTGGAGGGTAAAAAGCAGAAAGCAAATGGTGTTAGAAATGTATGGGAGATGCATATTCCGGTGGACCAGTCGGAATGGGTCAAGAGATTATTAACAGGGATTATGAAACCTTCTTTGGAGCAGGATGTGATAAAGGAAGCTTTGGAGCTCGAAGGAGTGGGAGTCGAAATATCGAGATGGGGTTATGCATGGAATGCTTGCATCATTACATTCAATACGGTCGAGGAGCTATCATATGTATGGATGAATAAGAAAGCAGAGTTGTGCTTATGCTTCGATTTGTTAGCTCCAGTTCTGAACGATGAAGGAGTTCCACTAGCCCTTTGCCAGGTAGAGATGTATGGAATGCCTCTATTGTGCTGGAATGCATTCATGAAAAAACTGACTGGGAGATGGGGAGAATTCATATGTTTTAATGAAATATCAAAGAGCAGATTGGATCTTTCGTCGGCGAAAGTACTGCTCAGGGTGGAGAGTCCTTTTGATGTCCCTGAAGATTACAATAGGTTCTTATGGAAGATCATTCAAAGTGAAGATATCCCTGGGGTCTGTTTTGATAAATCCAGAAGAACTGGTGGGGAAGATGGGGGAGAAAATATCAAAAAGATGGAACAGTAATTATGGCTTGTCAGTGGAGGGGGATGGGCAACATCATGTGGTGTTAATGGGGGACAAGATGCATTGAGTAAATCAACTGAAGAAGCTTTTAATTGTGGGCTTCCAGTTTTATTAGAAAATAGGATAAATCAGAATGGGAATCACGTGGGGTTGGGTTTGAGGGAAATAACGGATCTGGAGGAAAATGCCAAATTAGATGAAAATGGGGGTACTTTTTCTCCAATAAAGAAAATTATTCTTACTGGGCCGGCATTTAATCCAAAGTGGTTAGGAGAGAAGGATGGTATGGGTAGATTTATACCCTAGCCCAATAATATTGCAGCTAATCCTATGGATGTTGATGATGAGGGTGAAGTTAGGTTGCTGAAAGAATATTCAGGGGGGAGAAATAATTTTCAAATAGAGAGCAGAATGTAGATATGGATAGAGAGCAGTTTGGTGGTTTCAGCAATCGAAATGGAAAACTGGCAGTTATTACACAGTCTTCTACAGATTTAGAGGGGGTAAAGATTCGGTTGAACAAAGAGATTATCCAAAAAAGATGAAGATGGTTAAGGATGATAACCAGATTGGCCTTAATGATGACAACTGCTCAAGTTCGTGTGTAAGGGAGTTAAACTCTGTGAATCAAGATAGAATTTGGTCAGAGCCAATTAGGGAGGGTCAGATCATAATAAAGGAAAATATGCAGCCCTCTTTTAAAAATCATGTTCAGTTATTTCCTCGGGCAAAAAGTCTAATTAATCAGAGGAGGTTAAGAATCGCTCCACTTCGTTCAGGTAGTGTGTGCTCTGAGGGTGAAGTGTCAATCAGTTTTCATGTCAGAGTTTATATAAGGGTGTCTAGAAGAAGGATCAGGGAAGATTTGGAAGAAATCAGATTGTCCCCAAAGTCTTCCCAATCTTCAGTGAAAGCCAGGAACGAAGCTGCAGCGGTTCGAGGGAAGTATGTGATTTGTTGGGGATTACATTCAAAGGGGGCCAACAGTTACTAGAAGAAGAGATAATGAAGAGGGAAAGGAAGGGGTATGCGAAAGAAAGGGACTAATTTACTATTCTTTTTGAGGGTTTTTAAGATTTTACATTAAAATGTCAAGTCTTAAAATTATTTCATGGAACATAAGGGGTTTAGAGAGAAGGAAAAAATTAGAGAAGTGTCCAGACTTGTCAATAAAAATAAACCGACCATATTGCTTTTACAGGAGACAAAACTAAATAAACGTCCAAATGGACTAAGCAGGAAATTAGGGGGAAATCTGTTGAAGGGGGGAAGCTTTCAACCAGCAGAGGGGTTTGCAGGAGGACTGTTGAGTCTGTGGAATGAGAATGTATTTGAAGTTAGTAGTGAATATAATCAGAACAGATTTTTGGCGTTAACAGGAAAGTTCAAGGTGTCAAATGTTGAGTGTGTTATAATAAATGTTTATGGGCAGTAGAGGCTGAAAAAGAGGAGTTTTTTAGGGAGCTGTTGAGTTTTGTTCAAAGCTTAAACCTGCCAATCTGCATCGGGGGAGATTTCAATTCATATCTTGATCAAGCAGAGAAAAGTGGTGTTTCACAGAACTGGCATTCAATGGAGTTGCTCAGGTCTTTTGTGCAACAATCAAATCTAATAGATCTTCCTCTATTAGGAGGCAGCTTCACGTGGTGTAGCAATAGGGAGGTTCCTAAGTCACTCTCTGATCACAATCCGGTGCTGTTGGAAGAAGATTGCAAAAACGGGGGCCTATACCTTTTAGGTTTTTTAATTACATGTTAGAGGAAGATGGTTTTGTAGATGTGGTTCAAAAAGAAATTACAGATTTGGAAAAGGATAGAGGGAGAAGGAGTATTTTCAGCATTTTACAGGAAGTGGCCAAACAGAAGTCAAGTGGGGATTTCAGAAGCTATTACAGAATTTGAGAGCAAAATAAATGATTTGGAGCTGAAGGCGCAAGGCAGTGGGATTTCTTCATATGAATGGGAACAACTTTTGCTATACAGAAAGGAGTTATGGAAAATGCACAGGATTGAAGAAAGTATTTGGTTCCAAAAGTCGAGGATGAAATGGATTAAAGATGGTGACAGAAATACTAGGTTTTTTCACTTATGTGCTCTTAACAGAAACAGAATCAATAACATTTCTACTTTGAATGTGGCTGGAGAGGAATTAACAGATTCAAATCGAATTAAGTCCTATGTCTCCTATTTTTTCAAGAAAACTTATAATTCAAAAGATACTATGGAGGTAGAAGACTTTCAACTTACTTTTGCAAAATTGAGTGTCAAGCAAAGGAAGAGTCTTGAGGTTAAGTTTTCAGAGCAGGAAGTTAGGGAGGCTATTTTCTCTTCGAATAGTGCTAAAGCCCCTGGACCTGATGGTTTTATGATGGGATTTTTCAAGAAATTCTGGCCGACTCTAAAGGTGAAAATTATGAAGTTTGTGGATGATTTCTATTGTGGAAGGAAATGGGAGCATGGGGTTAATCATGCCTTTATATCTTTGATCCTAAAGAAAATTAATCCGGAATGCATTGAAGATTACAGACCTATAAGTCTCGTGGGCAGTCTATATAAAATTATCTCCAAAGTTTTATCGAAGAGACTCATTTCAGTTATTAAGGACATTGTGAGCCCTTCCCAGTTTGCAATTATTCCTGGGAGACAACTGTTAGATTGTGCCTTTCTTGCAAATGAAGGCATTCATTTTTGGAGGAAGCAAGGGTTGAGAGGGGTCGTTTTCAAAGTTGATTTTCAGAGAGCATATGATTCGATAGAATGGCCGATTCTTCTGAGATTATTGAGAGTCGTGGGTTTTGGCGAGCGATGGGTTTCATGGATAGAATATTGTCTTTCTTCGGCATCAATCTCGGTACTAGTGAATGGCTCTCCAACAGAGGAAATTTCTATGGCTAAAGGGTTAAGACAAGGATGTAGTTTGTCCCCTCTTTTGTTTAATATAGTTGGAGAGCTTAATCTTACGTTGATTAAAGCTGCTGATTTGGGCCTCTTTGAAGGGTTTACTATTGGAAGATTTGATCCCTTTCAATTAACCCACCTACAGTTTATTGATGATCTTATTCTATTTTGTCGAGATTCTCCTACTCAAATAATAAATATTTGGAGAGTGCTGAGGATTTTCAGCCTAATGACAGAGCTTCACCTAAATCTATTAAAGAGCAGTTTATATGGCATTAATATGGAAGACGGCATCTTAAAGGAATGGGCTAATAAGGCTAGTTGTGCAATGGGTTCTTTTCCTACGGTGTATCTAGGCCTTCCCTTAGGTGCAAAGAAAAATAATGAGGTTCTTTGGGATCCGGTCATCCAGAAATTTAATAAGAAATTATCAGATTGGAAAGCTTCATCACTATCAATGGCGAGTAGAGTGGTGTTGTTGAAGTCAGTATTGTCCTCACTGCCGATTTTTTTCCTCTCTATTTTCAAAATACCGAGTAAGGTAAATAAGAAGATTAAGACTTTGATGGCCAAATTTCTTTGGGGGGAGGGAGCATCAAACAATCGTATTCACTGGTTGAATTGGAAAATGGTATGTCAACCCTTGGAAGATGGAGGATTGGGAGTATTGGATCTGAATTTTCTTAACAGAATGTTGCTTGGTAAATGGATTTGGAAGTTCGGAAATGAAAAAGAGACCCAATGGAAAAGAATGATTTGTAGCAAGCATAATGTTAGCAATCTGTCCCTATCAATTGACAGGGTAGTGTCTCCTATGGACTCATGGATTTGGAAAGGTATCATTAATAATTATTTAAAAAAAGATGAAATTGGAGAAGGCTTGAGATCTCACTCTAAGATCCAAGTGGGCAATGGTAAGTCTATATCATTCTGGAACGATGTTTGGGTAAACGATGATACATTAAAAAATCAATTTCCAAGGATTTTTGCACTATCAAATAATAAGTGGGGTAAAGTGTTAGAGTTTGGTTGTTTTGTGAATAATGGTTGGATTTGGAACATTCAAGCTAGGAGGAATTTATGTGATTGGGAATTGGATCATTGGATTCAATTAATGTCTTTGCTTGAGAATATTGTATTGTCTGATTCAGTGGATGATTTCCCTTTATGGTCGGGGAAGGCAGATGGACTGTTCTCGGTTAAATCATGCAGGTCGACTCTATCTTTCAAATCTGGTGGTTCTTTCAATTGGAACAAGTGGGTTTGGTTAGGGTTGGCTCCTCCTAGAGTCGAAACCTTTCTTTGACAGGTTTCCCACCAAAAATTGGCATTTAGAACGGGGTTGAAGAGAAGGGGTGTTTCATTGGAGGATGTCCTATGTCCGTTTTGTTTAAATCAGGAAGAAATTGTCCATCATTTATTCATTTCGTGCTCGGTTGCAGGGGAATTATGGAATAGATTTTTCAGGTTATGGGATATCTCTACAATTCTGCCTAAAGATCCACCTTCACTGCTAAGTTCTTGGTTTGATATAAGGGTAAATTATACAATTTGGAAATTTATACCAGGAGTTGTTTTCTGGACAATATAGAAGGCTAGGAATTCGGTGGTTTTTGAGAATATGAAACTAGACAGATCATCTCTATTCTTCATTTCCAGATTCAGATTGGCTAAATGGTATCTTGCTAAGTATCCGAATGTCACTATTCTGGTTGACTCACTAGTTGGGGACCCCATTCTTGCAGACAAGCTTCCTAGTCCTACCTTTAAAAGAAAGAATGTTCAGAGTTGGCTTCCTCCTCCAGCACATTATTTCAAATTTAATGTTGACGGGACAGTCAGAGGTGAAGGGCTAGTGGGTGGAATTGGAGGCATTTTAAAAGACGCGAATAATAATACTTTAGGGTCTTTCTCGAATGGTGTTGGCCCATGTCCTCCTTTGGCTGAATTGAAAGCCATTGAGAAATGCATTGATTGTTTTCTTGCATCTGCTTGGGCTGTGGAGGGAAGATTGATTATAGAGAGTGACTGTAAAGTAGCAGTGGACTGGATTATGTTGCCGACTTCTGCTCCTTTTTTTAGTGCTTTGGTTGGGAAATTGTATCCCTAGTTTCGGCTAGGGAGATTATTGTTAGACACATTCCTAGGAGTTGTAATTGGGAGGCAAATACTTTGGCCAAACAGGGGATTGGCTAAATTTTTTCTGTTTTTTAAGATGTTTTTAGTAGGGTTTTGTTCTTATGCTGGTATTTAAGGTGTAATATTCTACCTTGATGTATTAGTTTGAATTATTAATAAATTGAGGCACTCTTTTCCTCCTTCCGCTAGTTGCCTCTGTTCATGAGGCAACTATGAGGGAGGTTTTTAATGAGGCCTCCTCCTATAAAAAAAAAGAGTTACACCAAGATATCCAAAAAAAAAAGTGAGAGATAATGAACTGGCAAACCTTCTAGACCCTTGGACAACTCTAGCCATAACGATCACCAGAGGAGTATAGACAGACATAAAGTAGGGCAATATTGACTAAGTTTTAGGAGTGATAGATGGTCAAAAGTTCCATGGAATTCAGTAACTGCGGGTTAAAGCATATCTAATGACGATAACATGCAAAATTAAGCTTTGGCATCAAGTAAGTACATGTACAAGTTAGAAACAAGAGAGATAGGAAAGGCCAGTACCTCGCTTTTGAATTCTTCAAGTAGTTCCCCGGAGATATCTTGATCCAGGAACTTTTTCACCGCAACTTCCTGTGAAACCAAAGTGTGAGAAAATGATTAATATTCTCCTTCAAAGAACAGCAACATAAGATAGAAAATTTTACTCTACTGAAGATTTAGGTAATAAATGATTTCTATTCAATCGGCAGGAAAGCAACAGCTCTCGTTATAACATTGATTGACAACCAAATGTACATGTGTATATACAAGCTAATTTTCGTGAATGAAATAAATGCATAGTTAATATGGAATGCATTATCCAGCAATGCCGGTTAATAAGATTGAAAAGAAACACGTGTAGAAAGAAGCCGGTTTTTTTTTAAGGAAAAGGGGTCTCTCCTTTTTTCCTTTTTGAGAAAAGGGGTCTCGTTAAAACCCCCTTCATACCCGATAGACACCAAAGCAACCACCAGCTAGCGGAATGAGGAAAAAAGTGCCCAAACTAATTAAATAGAACATCCAAACATTAAGTTCGTTATAAACAAAACAAACATACAAACCAACCAGAATCGACAAGAAAAATAGTTAACAGTGCATGAACTTAATGCAACACCGCCACTATCCATTGAAAGCCCCGACAAAATCAGGCAAACAAGTGACCTGTATGTCGAGCAACAAAACAACTCAAAGCAGCCAAGAAAAACACCATGCGACTACCAAGCTATAAATCCACTAAGACTCGACTGAAAGATATTCTTCACCTCTCCTTCCCCTCCAGCAAGTTCATCACTACCTCCACTTCAGCAAAAGAGGCGACAGAACCTAAATATAACAATTCTAGCCAACCATTTAATTAAAAGATCATCTAATCCCATTTTTTGTGAGCAAATCCGCCTCAATGTTGATGACCCTTGAGATATGCCTACCAGATAGCCAACAGTCTTATTTCTTTTAGTTTTATTGATAAAGTGTTATCTGATTAGATAAGAGTCTTTGTAGATAAGTTTCTTAGCTGATAAGAGTCTTAGAAGACAAGAAACCTAATAGATAATTCAATTCTAGTTTATGTAACACACATCACTTTAAAAGACTGTTTTTTCCCTTCAGTCAAATAATGCAAAATTCAAACAATTGCTTTAGGAATCTGTCAAGGAATGTGGATTCAGAAATTATTAAGGGGGTTGAAGTATGCAAACGAGAAGGAGGCTCAGTGGAAAAAATTACTGTGTTGTAAGCTTAATGTCAGTAATTTATCCTTGCCAATATGCAATGCCGTTTCTCCTGTAGACTCTTGGATTTGGAGAGGTATTTTGAATAATTATGAGAAAGAGGATCGGATAGGGGAGTGCTTGAGGTCCAATTCGAAGATTCACGTGGGGAATAGTAGATCAATTGAATTTTGGAATGATGATTGGGTCAATGGCTCTTCCTTAAAGAGTCAGTTCCCTAGGATATTCGCTCTATCGAACAATAAAAAAGGAAAAGTGGCAGATTTTGGGTGCTTTGAAAATAATGGTTGGATTTGGAATATTCAGTTAAGGAGAAACTTATGTGATTGGGAATTGGATCAGTGGATGTCATTAATGCTTTTGATTGATAATATTCGTCTGACTGAATCAGTAGATGATTTCCTTGGGTGGTCGGGGAATGGTGATGGTTTGTTCTCGGTTAAGTCATGCAGAATTGCTCTTTCAAGCAGAAATGGAGATACTTTTCAATGGAAGAAGTGGGTTTGGTCTGGTTTGGTACATCCTAGAGTGGAAACTTTCCTATGGCAGATTTCTCATAAGAAAGTGGCTGTTAGAGTGGAACTTAAGAAGAGAGGAGTTAATCTGGAAAATGTCCAGTGTCCATTATGTCATAACTTTGAGGAGTCAATTCAACATCTTTTTGTATCTTGTTCGGTTGCAATGCAGTTGTGGAATAGATTCATTAATTTTTGGGATATTTCTACAGTTTTGCCCCAAGATCCGGTTTCACTACTTTGTTCTTAGTCCTATATTTGGGAGTACTCTACCATCTGGAAGTTTATTCCTGGAGTAGTTTTATGGTCACTATGGAAAGCGAGGAATTCGGTGGTATTTGAAAACTGGAATTTTGATAGCTCATCTCTGTTCTTTATAACCAGATTTAGGCTGGCTAAATGGTTCTTAGCTAAATTTCCTCTTGTTAACATTCAGGCTGACTTATTAACAGGGGATCCATCGCTTGCGGATAGAATCCATACTAAGATATCTAAGAAGAAGAAGGTTATTTGTTGGTCTCCGCCCCCTCATGATTTCTTTAAATTCAATGTTGATGGGGCGGTGAGAGGGGATGGGCTGCAGGGAGGAATTGGAGGAGTTTTGAAAGATTCCAATTGCTCTATTTTAGCCTCTTTCTCTATGGCTGTGGGACTAGGCCCTCCTATGTTAGCTGAGTTAAAAGCTATTAAGCAGGGAATTGATGTATTTCTTTCATCGGAGTGGGCAACGAAGGGAAGACTTATCCTCGAGAGTGATTGCAGGAAAGCAGTGGATTGGATCTTGATACTTATTTCTGCCCCAAATTGGGGCTTATGTATCTGCTAGGGGTTTTATTATTAATTGGATTCCAAGGAGTTGTAATTGGGAAGCAGACAAGTTAGCAAAAGAGGGGATTGGTTGAGGTGTTGTGTTCTGTTGTTGTAGTGTTATGTATTTTATCTAGGGAAGTTTATTATGTAAGTTGTATCTTATGTAATTATGGGTTATTAATAAAATGAGGTACTCTTTTCCTCCTTACGCTAGTTGCCTCTTTCACAAGAGCCAACTAAGAGGGAGGTTTTTAATGAGGCTTCCTATTCCTATCAAAAAAAAAAGTTGACTCTAAGGACTAGATCAAAATGCACACTGACAGTCAATTTGCCATAAGTATTGCTAAAAGTTCAATAAACCATGACACAACCAGAAACATGGAGATTGACAGACATTTCATTTCAGAGAAGGTTAACAATGGGATAGTTCAGCTGAATTACATTCCCAGTCAACTACAGCTTGTTGACATCCTTGCCAAAGCTCTCCAAAGAACCAACTTCGATGAATTCAACCCTAAGCTGGGTTTGTATAACATATACATCCCAACTTGAGGGGGAGTGTAGAAAGGAGCTGAAAATTAGAAGTCTTATTTTTTTAAAAGAATATTGATCAAGTATTATCTTACTAGATTAGTTTTTTAGTAGATAATAGTCTCAGTAGATAAGTTTCTTCGCTGATAAGAGTCTTTGAAGATAAGAAACCTAGTAGATAAAGAACTCTAGTTTATGTAACACACGTCCCTTTATAAGGCTGTGTTTTTCCTTTCTTCATTTGAATAATAAGAGAAATTTTGTTCTTCATGAATGCTCACATGAGATTTCCTAGTTGCAGTTGCATACCTGATTTTAATTAGATAACCATAAAAATGAAACAGAACCAGGAGCCAAAGCTTGTTTGGAACTGGTTTTTATGGTGCTTTAAAATATCCAATCTAAAACCAAAATTGGTAATCAACAAAGAAGCTAAACAAGCAAATAAGATCAGAGGAAAGTGTTAAAAGATGAGGAATAACAACAATTAACACTCTATGTTGAAGCCAACACTACAACTAAAAGGAAAGTCCTTACAATGTTGTTAACAAATAAGAACAAACAATCCTAGCATTAACACCGAGTTAAGCCCAATTAAGCTATCAACTGAAAACAAACTACAATTATGCCGAAAGGCCAACCTGAATACAAGCCCATAACAAATTCTAAACTTAAATATGTGAGATATCACACTTAGGACTTAACAAGTGTTAAATAGCCTAAACATGCAACGCTTAATTGGAAAATCCCCAATATTAGTTTTTTGTCTGAGATATGTTACCATTCTCCAAATAAGGTAGGGGATAGATCAAGACAAACTGACTCTACATAAAATTGTTCCCATGAAATATTGATATATTCCAATCAGGCATCTATCAACTTAACTATGCTCAATTTCCCACAAAATGAGGACCACAAACGAGCCCAAAAAAGTGTTCTCCAAATGCATGGAACCATCAAGATGTTCTGTTTCAACTGAATCTTTCAAATGATATTAAAAGCTGGTTATCATATCCCCTATAATAATCCTAAAGAAAATTTGGTTGCATTACTTCATCTTAGGGATGGCCAAAATACCCGAATCCGACAGGTCCCGACCCGACCCGACCCTATAAGGGTGGGGTTTCTTTTTTTTTTGAATTTTCGGGGTTCGGGGAGGAACGGGTTATATACTAAGTAGGTTCGGGGTGGGGCGAGGCCGAGTTTAAGATGAAAAATCACCGTTCTGACCTAACCCGATATAAAATATATAATATATTTAAGATTTTAAATATTTTTATTTTTTTATAATGTTAAAATATATTATTTAATTATTAAAAATATAGTAAATTATTATAAAATATATTATTTTAATAATTTAAAATATAATAAATGATTATAAATATACAATTATAAAATATATAATTTTAATTATTTAAAATATTGATATATTCGGGTTGGATCGAGTCGGGGTTGGGGTTATAGTCTAAAAATCGGGGCGGGTTCAGGGCGGGAGAAAACCTAAAAATTATCGGGGCGGGGCGGAGTCTTGTATTAATAAAATATTTTCGGGGTGGGGCGGGTTATCCTACTTCATCTCCAAGCCAAAGGTTAAAAAGGGCATATGGGAAGATATGTCGGCGACGAGACTGCTGGTGAGAGTGGCGAGTCCTTTTGATGTACCGAGAATGATATCCTTAGGTGCATATGGGAGATCATTTAGGTTGCGAATAAAAGTGGGTTTGGTCTTTAAGAAGCCAATTGAGGCCCTGGAGAACACATCAGAAGGTGCCTCAGAAGGCGGATGGTCTGAGGAATCATCGACGGAAGACCTGGACGGTGCTAGGACGGCGATGTGTGAAGAGGAGAATGAACAGTCAGTTCAGGAGCGTCCAAACAGGGTGGACACGTGACTTGAGGAGGGGAGAATTGCTGGCATCGAAGAGGCTATTGTGGGATAACATTCAATACTGCTGGAGAATGATAAGGATTGTATTAATGTAGGGGAGACAGAGATCCTCGGTAC